GTAGAATTTTTCTACAATATTTAATTCAACTAAAATTAAATATTTAGCCATCAAAAATTCAGTCAAAACCGGGTCAAACCCAAGTTTTACAACTGATTTTTCCAACACATACAACATCCAAAATATTGTAAATTTGCTTGAATACTAAATGAATCGTACCATACAAATGCACAAGGAAGTTCACCAAACTATTTGTTACCATTCACTACAGTTATCCGTGAAATAAGTGTCAATGATGATCTAACATTGACAATATTTGATAATTTACATGTATATACTAAGGTATAACACAATCACCGACACTTATATTTTTCTTAAAAGAAAATGCACTTTAATTATTCAATAATATTACAGATCCCAAAACTCTTATTCAGTAAGCTACCAATGCAGGCATAACAATACTCATTTACTACCTCGCCAGTGAGGATCTCGTCCTGCGAATTCTGCGAGAACTGAGAGAAGAGACCATGCTGATATAAAACTCCTTGTGAAAGTGTCAGTTGTGAATGTTGTGGCCGAAGTTGTGATGCTGTTTGGCTTCTCCCATAGGTTGAAGAGGACTCTAATCCACTAGTAACCACACTCGACCCTCCTTGTCAATCCATCCCCAAGCACACATACACACACCAATAAAAATGAAAAACAAGTAATCAGTATCATAAACCATTTTATTATCAAATAATCCAGCGATTACGCCGTTCTTATCAGTAAAATGCCCATCAGACTTCGCCAGTTTCAACACTGTCAGAGTTTGTAATTTGATAATTTTTGCTGCATCATTCTCATGAATTGATTAAAAACTAAACCAGCAACTCTAATTACTCTGCATCTACGCTAATCTTCAACTGATCACGTCATAACATGAGTGTGCGTTCGTGTGTGTGCGCGTGAATCTACAACGAACTACATATCTCCATCACAAAAAACAATCAAAAAAGTGTTTTGGAGAAGAAATTGAACCTCGATTGAGGAGGAAAAACAGAGATGGAGATGAGATCTACGGCTTTGTTGATCTTCATTTTGGTTATGGCAAATCAGTCTCGACGAACACTAACAGACTGCAACCGCTACAAAAAGTCACTTGGAATAATCAATCTCAGGCATAATTGCTTTCCTCTTCTTCTCCTTTGAGGGTACTCGTGCGTTAGTGGGTAAATGGAGCTCACGAGTGTGTTCATGGAGTCGTGGACCGCTTATATACGGAGAGATTGTAGTGAAAATGGCGGGAAATGGGTGAGTAACATTTGGGCTTTGGCCCAGTATTTTTCCTGCTTGAAGTTTGGACCTTTACGGTATGTTAATTGCTAAGCAATGAGTCGTGGGCCTGTGGCTGTGGCCTCTGAAATTCTACATTATATATGTTTTTAGTGAAGAAAAAAATTGTTGGTGAAAAAAAAAGTTGATTCACTATAAATTAGTTACTTTATAATAAAAAATTTATTAATTTTTTAATCTACTTATCATTAGTATTCTATCATGTGCACATACACAGTTGCAAATAAATTTTTATATGTTATTTTGTATGTGCATATAATATTTATAATATAAGTTAGATAATAGGGGGTGATTGTTTACAAAATATTTCACCTCAAAAAATTTCAACTCAAAATCTAACTCAACTTTAACTTAACCTCACTATCTTTAATATTATTCATATAATTAAATAATACAAACCAATCATTCTTACACATCCCATCAACTTTAATTCACTATTCATCTACTCACATTTAACTACCAATCATTTCCAATCATTTATCTCTTACTTTATATCAAATCAATTTTAATTATTTTATTTTAAATATTATTTTAATATATTTTTTAAATCCCACTAATAATTAACCACACTACTTTTTCAACTTTAACCATAGTTAACCAAAATGAAATATTTTGGATGAAATATTTTATAAACAATCATGCCCTAAGTATATCACATTTTATAAATTGTGATCAAGAAATCAAAATTGTGATCACATTTTGTTTAAGTTACAAAAAAGTTGGTGTTATAAATTGTGATCAAGAAATTGAAATTCTATATCGCTATATAAATCGTTATGTTTTAAAATATTCAATAAATATTGGAAATTATAGAATATTTTTTTATATATCTACAATAATAATAATATAGTGTATTGTATTCCTATGAGATTATTTTTTATGGATTATTTTTTTATATTTTTATATAGTGTAATGTGTCGGTCATCAGTCCGATTTGATATTTAACTTATAAATTTAATATTATATTCACTTATAATATTCTATGCTTAAAATATAATAATATTATTTCAACTTATTAATTTTAATATTATACACATACAAATAATTTTATTTTATTTATATATGTGCTGCTAATGGTTAGTTATTATTATACAAGGGGATCACTTCACAATTAATCAAATCCTTTTCCACAAACCCACAACCATAAGTCAGTAGCTAATTCTACAAGCAAAGCTCCAAACCCATCAATGGTGAAAAATATTCACAGTGCCGACGAACTCGAGGCTACGCGATGGCCGCAGTAGAAATTCCACAGCCCCACAAGAGAACAAATTGCCCCGATATGACGATCACGAATTGGAGCTCGAGATACAGCGGAACCACGCATGTCGGAACCGAAATTGAGAAGAAACTGGAGCCCAAAACGACGCCGTCCAAGAGGGCTATGGAGGATACGATGTTCGTGGCCTTGGGAAGGGATGCGAATGAGAGTGAGTCAGTTTTGATGTGGGCTTTGCATAATTTCAGTGGGATGAGGATTTGTGTGCTCCATGTTCATCAACCAGCTCAGAAGATCGCCACGAGTGAGTATTGAGCTGTTGCAGGAAAAAAAAAAAAAGCATTTGATTTGATAATATTTTTCTTGGGTCATGCTTGTTGTTTATCTGGTGATGAAAGCTTGTTTCTATGTGATTTGTGGGCAGAATTACTGACCGTGATTTTGTTGGATTTATTGATCGGCTTGAGCGTTTAGCACTTCATAACATTTGTGTAGATATGTTCTCTTAATTGTTGTGGTGGATGATACGATTTAGTCTGTTGCCTTCTGGTTCTGAATAGATCATATTGAATGGATATTCATTTCGTTAGTGAAAGAGGGAGCAGAAAGGTATTAGGTGATGTGGTTCATTTGAACCCTGGAGATTTATACCGTAAATTTGTTATCCAACTGTAGTTTTTTCAATCTATTTTCTGTTAATGTCAGGACTTCACACAGTCAAGTTTACTTATTATACTACATTATTCTTCATTTTACAGTGGGTGGTGAAGTTTCGATTAGTCCAATCGAAGAACGCTTAATCAAAGCACGCCATGAAATAGAAAAGCAAGATATGCAGAAGACGCTTGACAAGTATATTTGGATTTGTGAACAGGCTGGGGTATGACAACTGTTCATTTCTCCTAGTATCTATTGCATGAGTAAGGGAAAAAAACAGAGGGAAATGGAAAAAGAAAACATGGGATGGATTACGATAGCTGCAGTCGAGGTTTACCCTAACCACAATAGGATGTAACTAACTTTCAAATTGCATTTACCCCCCTGAATCGAAATAAAGTTACTCCCTGAAGTTTTGTATTGAATTTACAAATACTGGTCGCTTGATGGTGCACCATGTAAAATGGAAACATATCCGCTGTTTTTTTTTGTTGGTGATCAGGCTAAAGAAAAAGCATCACCCCATATATTCTTGAACATTGGAAAGGTTTTGATTTTGACTTTCATCTGCAAACTTAAAGACCACCATGTTATAATGTTAGCAAATCAGTGTTTAATTTTCATTCTTCATGCCCGCTCGCGGTCCATATATATATACATAAATTTCGGTTCAGCATTGCCTATCATATTATAATCATATATACTGTGATGCATACGCTCCTCCCACTAAGTTCTCTTGATTTGTCTCCCTTCGTATTTTAGGTGCGAGCAGATAAACTATGCGTGGAAATGGACTCCATTGGGAAGGGTATAGTGCACCTCATTGCCAAGCATGGTATCAAGTGTCTTGTCATGGGTGCAGCTATTAATAAAAATTATTCACGGTATATTATTATGTTTTTCTTTTATTTCCCCGTCAAATACACTACACAAACAGACAGGTATTGTTACACGCCAGTAATCACACAGTCCTGTTTTTCCTATTGTTACTCATAAAAGGTTGTACCATATCAGTCTGCTGCTTTATTTGCACGTGGTGATCAAATATATTATATTTCTTTACGTTAATATCTCTATATTGTCTCACCGGATTTTGTTTCTCTTCTATCCACCTCATCTATACTCTGCTCTGCTTGCTTGCTTACCATTATTATCATGTCATTGCAGAAAGATGAAGGAGCCCATGTCTAAGAAGGCAATCCACGTGCTAAAAGAAGCACCTGATTTCTGCAAAATTTGGTTTATATGCAAAGGAAACCTTATACATACAAGGTATTGATTTAGTGTTAGCATATAAGGTCGTGGTTTAATTTTTCTCCTCAGGCTCCCTCCATTTTATTGCATGTCTAATTCATATTCCACTGTACCCGGTACTTATTCTGGGACAATGTAGGGAATGTAAAAGTGAGACCGACTCTCAGTCATTTCTAGCAAATCCAACTACTGAAGCTATAGAGTCCTTGAGATCACTCTCGGTTGGAGAAGGGATGAGGGGTCCAAGAAAATTGCAGAACTCTGCAATAAAGTACAATGGGGCCAAGTCTGACATTCATGGGATGCAGCCTTTACCACCAAATTCGGAATGGAGCTCCGAATGTGAGACTCTATCAAGGAAAAGTCCTTCAGTAGACTTGCGCATTTCCACGTGCTCGTCGAGTGAAATTGAAGAGGTGACTTCAACATCTCCTCCAATCTTTAAGCAAATGAATTGTTTTCTGGGTTACCTGTAGTAAGCTTATCAACCATGATAGAATGAACTCTTCACATTATTTCAGATGATATGATAAATAATAATTTCACCAGCAAAGTTTAAACTGTGTTTACTTTCCCTGCCTCGTTGTAAACTTAAATGTGATCTTTAGTTTTATCAGGTAGAGTTTAATGTATTTGTGAGGGATAATTCAACTATTTGTTCCTTTTCTGATTACTTGATAAAACTGACCAGGAACAGAATGCGAATGAATTGTACGACAGACTAGAGCAATTTTTGGCAGAAGCCGAAAGTTCACCTAAAGAAGTTTATGATGGATCCATCAAGCATAAGAAAGCTGAGAAAGATGTCATTGATGCCTTTCGCAAAGTAAAGCTTCTATAATGTTCTCTTGTGTTTTAATTATTTTCAAATATTTAGTATTTGTACAAGATGTGAAAATCGTGCTGCATCCATGTCCATTATAAGTTATATGGCTGTGACCTGATATGATATAGAAGACATTTTCATCCCTTTAGAGAAAGCTTTCCTAAAAGTTACACTATTCACTCATCTTACTTTTTCCCACCTCAAGTTTAATAATACATACTTCAAGTTCAAAATAAAATCAATCATTAGTACACAATTTACTATGAAATTTCTGTTCATTCACTCACATATATCTAATCACCAGTAATTAATCCATTATTTCCAGCTCACATCAAATTTAATCATTACATTTCTATCTTATCATCAATCACACTTTTCAAATTATTCTTTTTTCCCCAAAACTTATTCTCTCCGGTGAAGTAAAGACTTCCTGGCAAAAGCATATCCAATCGCGCCCTAGGTCCCTAACTCTCTCTCTCTCTCTCTCACGCACACACATACACACACATGACAATCATTATCTTTTTAAATTTTCTTCAGCTGTTCACTGTTGTGGATGAAACTGTACAAGCTGTAACTTCCCTGTCTCCCCTTCAAGCTGATGCTTCATATTAATAAATAACTTGTCAAATAACTGATACGTACAGTACTTAATTTTAGGCCAAAGCATCGGAATCAATGTATGCAGAGGAGCTAAAATGCAGAAAGCAGCTTGAAGAAGCTCTTGACAGAGGTAAAAAAGATGTTGAGAAGATGAAAATGCAACTAGGTGAGGTCATGGAAGAGCTCAGAATTGCGCAAGAACACCAATCCTCCTTGGAATCCCAAATTGCCAATTCAGATAAATCAGTTGAGGATTTGAAACAAAAGATGTTTTCTGCCGTGGAACTTTTGAAAAAGTTCAAAATGGAAAGAGATGAATTGCAGGTCCGGCGTGATTATGCACTCAGGGTAGTCGAGGAGCTGAGAGATAAACAAGCTGAGGAGGCATCAAGTTCGTCTATATCTCAGTTTTTCTCGATTTTCTCTTTTTCTGAAATTGAAGAGGCCACACGGAACTTTAGCGAAGGCCTGAAGATTGGTGAAGGGGTTTACGGAAGTATCTATAGAGGGAACGTTCGGTGTACTCAAGTGGCTGTGAAAGTGCTATATCCAAATTGCTCGAAAGGACCTATTGAATTTCGACAGGAGGTAAATTTGTCTGGGTAGACTGTAACACTGCATGTCTTTCCAGCATGTCCTTTTATTTTCTTTTTTCTTCCATTTTTTTCCTTTCTTTTTTATTTTATTATTTAATCGAATGTCTTAGTGATCAGGGGAAAAAGCTGAAATTTGGTGAATACATATATGTATGCTCCCTATTCATTTTGATCATTTTCCGGTTGTTATTCCACGGGGTAAAAATAGCTCCGAAGCGTTGAAAGGAAAAATAAAGAACTGTTGCCAAACTTCCCGATTTAACATATTTTATTATCAACATCAACATACCCAGTATATTCTCAAACATGTTGGGGTCTGGGGGTCAGTTGTACGCAGACCTTACCCTTGTAATTATACAAGGAGGCTGTTTCCATAGCGACCCAAGGTGCGTTGCGTCGTTTGATATATTTTTTCTATAAACTTCACTAATAGAAGAAGCACTAGAATTTAATTGAGCCATTTTGATCTAGTCCATTATTTGCACGATGCCAGAAGAATTGTCAACATTCTTGCCAGAAGAATTTAATTGAGCCATTTTGATCTAGTCCATTTTGATCTAGTCCATTATTTAACATATTTTATTATATATTCTTGAAAACCGGGACATGCAGAAGTTGTCTCCTCTTACGCTCCTGAAGAAAATAAGAAAAAATCACAATCTCTCTCATACTTCTTCAGGTCAACATACTGAGTAAGCTGAGGCATCCGAACATAATCACCCTCATAGGAGCCTGCCCCGAGGCATGGGCCCTCGTTTACGAGTACCTCCCAAACGGTAGCCTTGAGGACCGCCTCAATTGCAAAAACAACACATCCCCACTCCCCTGGAAAGCCCGTCTCCGTATAGCCTCCGACTTGTGCTCGGCCCTCGTCTTTCTCCATTCCCGCCGCCCTCAACCCATTGTTCATGGCGACTTGAAACCCTCCAACATACTTCTCGACACTAACTTTGTGGCCAAGTTAAGCAATTTCCGCATATGCGGCGAGCTCCAAGAAAACGAGCTCCTTGGAAATAACACGAAAGGGACGTTGGTTTACATGGACCCGGAGTTTCTTGCATCGGGTGAGCTTAGTGTGAAGTCAGACGTGTATTCGTTCGGGATAGTGTTGCTAAGGCTTTTGACAGGGCGGCCCGCATCGGAGATCGCGAGGGAAGTGCAGTACTCGCTGGATAAGGGGAGCATGAAGTTTTTGCTGGACCCCACGGCTGGGGACTGGCCGTTTGTGCAGGCAGAGCAGCTAGCGCACTTGGGCGTGAGCTGCACTGACGTGGACCCTAGTAGACGCCCGGATCTTGTTTCGGAGGTGTGGAGAGTGCTCGAGAATATGAAGGCATCATGTTCAGGGTTTTGTTATGGGGAGAAGGGCCAGATACCGGCGTATTTTGTGTGTCCCATCTTTCAGGTTAGCTTTTGTTTATATATATATATATATATATATTCTTTTTTCAATTATGGTTCAGTTTCTTATCTGTATATGTTTCTATTTCGCAAAGATATGTTTGGCATTTAAAATTATGTATCCCCTGTGAAGTAGCTTTCTGTTTACAAATAAGTAGCTTTCTGTTTACAAATACATTTGTGAAACAGATACAAAATTTGAAGGTTGTTTGTAAGTTTAAGGTCCTTTGAGGCTTAGAGTAATTATTAAGAAAAACGGGAAAAGTTTCAGAATCACAAAAAACGACTGTGTTGAACAGGTGGAAACTGCATTTTACAACTGTAAAATATGGTTTTGCTTGTAAAGGGGAAGAATTATATACAAACCCCAATATTTTTTTTTCTTTATCCTTCTGATAGTTTTCAGTAATCTCTAGAGTTTCTTATAGTTGATCTAAACCTTGAGTAAGTTCTTATAGCTCGGTTTTGAAACTTTTTTTTTCTCCTGGTTGAACCTGGCAGTGAAAAGTGCATACTACTGCAAAATCAGGGAAATAATGGTATAAATTTACTCCAGATGAAAGATAAAAGCTCCAATCTACACAGTTCTTGTAGAAATAACATACCCAATCTCGCATTCTTTCGTTTTTATGTTTTTTCAATGTGGACTACTGTTTGCAGGAAATCATGCAAGACCCAGTGGCTGCAGCAGACGGGTTTACTTACGAGTCGGAGGCTCTCAAGGGATGGCTCGAGAGTCACGATACGTCACCTATGACCAACGATAAGCTCACAAACCGTGACTTTTTGCCCAATCATGCTTTGCGTTCCGCAATACAGGAGTGGCTCGCAAAATCTTGAAAGCATATACAGTTAATATATACTAGTATATATTTGTCATTTTATACTTATTCTACAATTTCTTGAATGCTTGTAGAGGTCAGACATTATAGGTGGATGATGCACACGTGTATAGGTTGGCTCAGTATTCATATGTTTATAGCTTTTTGGTTGGGTTCTATTTTGTGTTTTTTTGGCTTCTTTATTTTGTATGTTGTGTGAAATCCAGACGGGTGGTTTATGGCGTATATTTGTTATTTATGTACGAGTTTTAATGAGTTTCCAGTAATCCAGTAGCTGGATCTTTTAAATAACTAGTTCTGATATTTTATTTTATTTTTTATTTTCTTTAACTCTTTCGAACATTGTGTTTCAACTAGGGCTGCAAACGAGTCGAGCCGAGTCGAGCATTAGCCTTATCGAGCAGGATTGATTCTTTTTTAGCTGACTCGATAAGAAAATACAATAGCTCGAGCTCGACTTGAAATCAAATGCTCGAGCTTGTGCTCGAGTTCGGCTCTAAAATTTTAATATATATATATATATATGTATATTAGTAATTTAATATATATCGAGCCGCTCGATGAGTTGCTCGACAATGCAAAATATGGACTCGAGCTCGACTCGAGTTCGGTCAAACTTGAGCTCAATTCAAGCTTTGACTTGAGTGCTCGCGAGCGACTCATGAACCGCTCGATTCGTTTGCAGCCCTAGTTTCAGCAAAAAACAGGACCAATGATGAATGTGATAGAAGCAAAAAACAGGACCAATGATGAATGTGATAGAATACAGAAATATCGAAAAATTTTGCTACACATTAACGCCATAAAAATACTAAAATATTGATTAGTGATGATTAATAGTTACTAATATATGATATTATTGATTATTGATAGTTAAAAATGTATGAGATTGAGTATACTTTTTGTAATGATTAATTTGTTTTTAAGTTCTATGATTAAATTTAGTACGAAATAAGAACACACAGTTTAAGAACTAACATGCATCATACCAATTTAAACGAATAACATTTGTTCGGCAAGACCACAGTGAAATTGTTTCACATTTATTGTAAGGAGGTTATAAGTTTCACCCAACAACACGACTGGCCAAATCGATCGAGTAATGCTATAAGTACATAATATTGTAAGGAAGTTATAAGTTTCACCCAACAACACGACTGGCCAAATTGACCTCGGTAAACAGGATTGCAAGTAAACCAAAAAGGCAGACATAAACCTTGTTCACAGTAACAACAAATAATTTCTACGGGCAAAATAATTTCTTTATTCAAGATATTATTAGTCACATACTTACCAGTGAAGGATTCAATAAACCTTCACTTACCAAGTTAGATACAGCACAAAAATGTACCTACACTAAAGAGATCTTTTCATGTTCCATCTCTGCTAAAAAAAACAGTTGCTTAATGAGGCTTTGGTTTATATCCGTCGACTGCAAAATTTCGTGTGGCTGAAGGAAGTGCTAAACGAAGTCCCTCAAGTTCGGGTTTCGCAATTACCTGACAACCCAGTCGTGACCTGCAGGATAAATTGTTTTACATTAATTAGATAAGACTTAGTAAAATTTCGTGCGACTAATAGCAATTGATCATGGTTGGTCAGTCGAGGCAAGGAACCTACGTTTCGGTGAGGCCAAATGCAAGGTCTAGCATGTCATTTTCCTCATCGGTTGGATCAGGTAATTTGTTGTATTGATCCACGTCCTGTGAAAAAGCATCAAAATAGTATGTGCAGCTGAATTTAAAATATAAAAAATAAAAAAAAAAATGTTATCCTACTTCCTAGGTTCCTTTCGAAAAAGGGTTAACAGCAAAATCGCATGAGCTTCGGAGTAATTACCAGAAGAAAAGTTAATATTTGAAAATCACAAATAAGCCCTCAAGAGTTGTTTTCTTTTATAAATTGTACTTTCAAGGAGATGTTTATAACAACTTCAACTTATAGGTTTTTTGCTACGGTTTTTGCTACGGAAGATCACTAGTTTATGTTGTGATTTGAGCTGTTGGGTTAATTTTATAATAAATAATCCCTGTGAAGCTTTGCTGCAAAGTTGCCCAAATTACTTACCATCACAATAACATGGCAAGTGGAACAAGCAAGAGACCCTTCACATGCCCCTACAATTTAAAAACAAAAAACAAAGATTCACAGGCTTTATCACAATAGGCTACAAGTACCCATTGACAAGACTACTAAAGTTCCAAATTCTTTTGAATCAAGAGTTTAAGAGCATGTTTGTTTATAAGATTTTTCAAAAAAATTCCGACATTTAACTCAACCACTTTTTTTAACTCAACTTTAACTCCACACCACTATTATCAATATAATTAAATAATATCAATCAATCATGCATACACACCACATCAACCCTAGTTCACTATTCATCTACTCACATAATTTTAACTAACCATCACATCACATCTTCTCTCTCCTACTTTTACATCAATTTAATTTTAATTATTTTATTTTAAATATTATTTTAATATATCCACTAACAACTAACCATACCACCTTTTCAAAATTAACTAAACCAAACAAAAAAAATCCAAACAAACCCAAAAAATTTCATAAACAAACATGCTCTAAATAATTCTTATCAACTTAATAAATCAATTTAGTCACATAATAGAATACTACTTCAACTAATACCTGAAAACAATTGCACAAACAGACTATCAGAAGCCACTGGATGGCTCCAAGAAAAAAAGAGAGAACATTGTAAAAAGAAATATATCCCCCCCAAAAAAATGAAGCTTACCTTCAAGTTCTATGTCATTCTCGTGTGCAGCTTCTAGCATTGACATTCCAATTGGGACTTTAATATGTGTCTCTTCCCCGTCTTTGTCAACAAATGTCACGTTTATTCTGCAAAATAAAAATTAAATAAAATATTAAGATAGACTTCAGCATCATCCATTTGATATACCATAGGTATTAACAAATCCACCAAATCTGGGTTCAATCATGCCAACTTGAAAAAAAAAAAAAAAAAAAAAAA